GTAGGCACTCGTAATTAAAAAAAAAAAATTTCAGGGGCAAATGTGATGCGATGTGATGTGAAATGGAAAATGTGCAAATTTTTGAGGGAACCTAGCATTTTCTGGCAATGCAGTAGGATCATGCAATTAACAAAGAAGTAGTCAGTTTACTGAGACTTCTACCCCTATTCATGATGAGTAGTTTCTGCGGAACTTGGGCTGAACTTGGGTTCATAATATGAAGACAGGAAGCTGTGCTGCCTGCTTAGGATGCCACTCGAAGTTGGCGGGTAATCGGATTTACTCCATTCACTCTCTCCATGAGAAATGGGACTCAATTAGAGAGAAGTGGAAGTGAATCTGAATAGAAAGACTGCAATTAAAGAGAATATTTGCCCTTCAAGGTATGGGACAGGTGTGGGACGTTTCCTCTCTCTGTCGATCGTCCAGAATCTTGCTTCACCCGTCTCGTTGCAAGAAAGGTTGAAGGTTCCATCGATTTTCATTATGTTTCAACGATTAAAAAGTAATGAGTAATCCATGATTATTTCATGATCCATGTTCTTGCGTACCACCCTCAGAGTTGATTCAGAAACTCTGTCCTGTCGAACAACAAATTGTTCGGCAGGTTCCAGCTCCAGCACTAGGCAAGTAGATAGCAGCTGAAGATAAAAGGGGGAAAGGGTATGGGTAGTGACGATGAGCAAAGAGGGTGAACACAACAGCTGTCTACTTGGGTATAGAGGATGGAGGAATGGCAGCCTATCTCGGCATATCAATTTCCATTCAATTCCTCAGTCATTCTCCACGATGACTCAGGCGAGGGAGAGACGGAGAGTCGGAGATAAGCGCCTTCATTAACGTTAAGTTTGCACGGAAATTTCTCGATCTCCGCTCAGCAGGAGAATCTGTTTGAATACCTGGAAGAGGATAAAGTCCTGGTTGAATCAGGCTTCCCTCTTGGAAACAAGAATGAATCTATATCCATAATGGGCAATGCTTGAACCCACCAGATGATCGTTCCGATTACGCAACGAATAGGCAGCATGATTCAGCGCATCGGCGCATTGTCGCCGATCGGCGAGTACGCACATAACTCATACGTAGTTCGGAGAGGCTTTGACCAAGAACCTCCTCCCAACACGGCCTATAGCCATTTCCTCGCTATTCAAAGCAGAACGCTCCTTTTCCGTCTGTCTTCCCGTTAGCTTGGCAAAGCCAGGCCTCCCATAGTATACTTTTTTCCTGGGAACCTTCCCGCTCCGACGCGGAAGCATCTGCTGCATGCCCCCAGTTTTCCAAGAGTGAGAGGCTGGATCAGGGCCACTCACTACTATTGTGGCTCGTGATATGGGCCTAGTAGTGTATGTGGGCCTATGGGATATGGACCTAGTGCATTTTAAGCACGTGCAAATCTCAGCCGGGCTGGTGACTTCTCTTCTGTATAAAGGAGATGAGTGGTTACACTATGGTGCAAACACTCAGCTCGGTAACCATCAGGGTATTCCTATAGGGATAAGCCTCTCGGGTAAAATTGAAAACGTTTAACACGTCACCGATCTCGCGACCAGCCGACACAGCCGCACCGGTTTGGTGACCTTGCAAACAGCTGACGGCACCTCGTTTCTCCCAACGTGTCTAGCTCCTTCCTGAATTTTCCTTGAGTGTTTCATGAATCAAGATGGCTCCCAACTGCCATCATTTACTGTCCAATCCTCGATTGTCTTTCCTGTTCAAAGCGAGCCGCAGGCGTCGAAAGTTTCAAATACGAAGACTAAAATCAAATTCTGACCACGGGGGGAAGCGATGGGGTCTTCTTCCCCGACGATTGTTTACGTCGATTCGTCTGCAGGCTATTCTCGGAATTTGGTAATAGCGGTTCCCCAACGTCGTGCAGGTGCTAGTCTCTGTTCCAATCAGAAAATTTCCTCGAAAAGTATCGCGATCCTCATTTATGCGAGAGGAGCACCCGGGAGTCGTTATCGCAGAAAAGAGTTGGTACAACTGTAGAGAAAACTTCGGATATGACGGGTTCCGAGGCGAATTCGGAAGATGTTCTCATACAAGGTAGGTCCCAGTCGGCACAGCCATGTTGTGTCAACGTTGAGAAAAGGTTGAAACGTAAAAACGAATTTTCGCAAATTCGCAAATTCGTTTTTCATCATATATGATTTACGCTTAATAGCCACTAAACGACTTCGCTAATCCACGAGTAGTCGCAATATGCTGCAAATACTGTTAATTACAAATAGCCAGCATTTCATTGATGTCGATTCTTCGTGGAATTCTCAACTTTAAGACTTTCAAGTCTCAACGTTGACACAATATGGCTGTGCTGACTGGGGTCATGCAATACGAGATGATTTCGTTCGGATGAAAATTTATTTCTTATTCATAATTACAACCCTGTGATATGCGTCTAGTGTTCATTAAGATTGGTACTCCATCGTGCCTATTTCTCAAAACTTATCTGTTCATGAATCTAAAAGTCTACAAATCATTATTTGTACTTACAAGCGCTTGTTTCCTGAAAGTATTTCAAATGAAAGCTAGCATTTTATTAGGACGACATCAAAGTTCTCTAGTCTATAATAAGAGAACATGGCATTGGAGAGCACAATCACAGCGCTTTCCCTCATTCTTGCGAATAAAACTGTTTTCTTCGGATGGTTTTGTGAAAATATGACAAAGAAAGATAAGAGTGCATTTAAGATGGCGGCTGACGAGGCCCGCGTCCTGGGCAAGAAGCAAAGACATGTCAATGAGTGCGGGATGTGTGGTGGTGTCAGAATAAAAAGGCGACGATGGTAAGGACCTCGAACGGCTTCTTCTCTTTTCTTTTCCTTGCGTCACACTGGCATTCAGATTGTTTAATGCGAAAATGGTGGTGAGAAAAATAATGCTGGTTTTTCGAACCAGGCATTGCTTTCTACTGCTCTGTATTTTCTCTCGAGTTTAACGAGGGTTTATTGATATTTTCGTATCGTTGGGATTGCTATTGCAGCAGAAACAGCTAAGGAGGTGTTTAATTACATAAGTGTTACATAGTACTTTTTCTGCATATAATATAGATCGTGGCTGACTCCACGACAGGAAATACCACGTCTCGCACACGTGCTTCGGGGGTATTTTACTAGTATACGCTGTCAGACTTCACGAATTGTGGACGGGAAACTGGCATTTCGTCTTAGAACACTAATACACGGATCCAAGTTGATAGCGTCCCCATAGACTGTATGGGAAAAGTCTTCCTTTCGCCTGAGATGAGCAGAGGGCGAGCATCTCCCTAGAGGTATTCATGTCCAGACAGAAGGAAAGAAGGAAATCAGTCCGTTGCTTTTCCTTTTTCCTTTCCGTCTATTCTTTTTCAGCTGCACATCTGCAAACACTGCCCTCTGAATGTAATTTGTCTTCTTTCTCTCCGCACAATTCTTGCCCTGTGAATCACCGTTTCCTCGTTTAACATCCCATGAATTCGGGGTATCATCACGACTCTAAAATGAAGGCCGGAACCGCGACCATTCGCAGGGCTCATGCAACTCTTCAATATCGACACAATATGACGAATGGCTCCCAGATTCTCCCTTGCCCTCGTCTCCCAGGTTTCCCTCCTCCACAAAGGAAACTCAACAGGAAATTTCGACCGAGCATGTCTATAAGCACACCATCCAATAAATAAACGGAAACCTTCTCTAAGACGGTTCTTCGAATGAAGAGAAACCGTTTACAAGTTTAACCAGTTCACATCTGTGATTTAAGCCATTCCTTCGTTTACGAGCTAGGATTCTTTTTCGAAGACATTTTCAAGAAAATCTTTGTATCCGGAATACCTTATTTGTCTGAACTCGAGGAGACCCACTGATTTCCGTCTTTCTCTTAAGTGTCGTCTGCCAAATTGGTCAAACATGTGCCAAGTGTCAAGTTGATTAAATGGAAACACACATGGATTGAAATAGTTTCTCATTCAGAACCTTTTCTCATTCTCATTCATATCTTTCGAATAGTACTAGCCGTGAGAGCGTAGGTCTACCCAAGGTTCAGGAAGATTCCTACGAAGGTTCGAAATTTGATTATTTGATTTTCGCTATTCGCTATTATACGCGATTCGCTATAATTTGATTTCATTAATGGGTCCAGAAAAACATGGACCTACTTATTTCCATAAATGTTATTTTATGGAATCAGATCAATCTAAAGTAAGACGGAGCTGAAAGCCTGTTACTGAATTTTCTTCAGAGCTTGAATTTCTCAAGGAGGAATGATTAAGAGATGTTATTTCTGGGTCTGTCCGACACTCATTCTTTTGTTGCTGAGGGAAGAAATGGCAGAGACCTCCAATTCACGGTCTCCTTTCTTCCTTTCTCTTTCATCTCCGAGTCTGTCTGACGTAAATTCCGAGAGAGAGAGAGAATTGCAGAGAGAACTCATTTCTGAATGAAGTTCTTTCAATAATGAGGAAAGAAAGGAAAGCCTGCACTATCTAGTTTCTTTTTCTATTTCCTGCACTCTCTCCCTAATGCGAAGATGAATTCCTGGAGGAGCTAATGCTCACTCTCTCCACATCCCAGCCGAAGGAAGGATTTTCTTTCTCATGTGAGGGGATCATAATCAAGTTAGATTGGTGTCAATTACAAGCGCACACAGTTGTAATGACAAATGGGATACTAGTGCTTCGAATAACATGACCTAACTAGTTACAAAAATAATACAAATAACCTGACGTATGCCACATCATCAAAAAAATCGTGCATAATAAATCGATAGGACTGGGCATACTTCGGTGAAAAGCGAGAGTGTAGCCCTTGTATTCTTTGCATCAATCGATGACGAGACGGAGCTCTATTAAGCAATCGTGAGCACAAATAAGGGGAGTCCCAAGCCGTCAGGGCCTATGATGAAGTGCCCCTTTGAGATCAGCTGCACCATCCCGGGGCGAGCGGGAAAAAAATGTTCTGGTCTATACGAGGCAGGCTTCTGAGCAAAATATCTACTCGGTGCGAGTGCCCGCACAAGATACTCACTGTGATGTAATTAGGTCCGGAGAGGGATTGACCGTTCTTCCACCATCGGATGAAGGCTGCTGGACGCGACCCGATCACTCGACATTGGAAGTCGTAGGCCTTTCCCGATGACAGAAAACCCTTAGGACCCTCGACTTTCACTTCCAACGGTGGAACTGCAAATACAAGGGGCATGCAGGAGCAAAAAATATTCGAAAAATCGATATTCGAACAAGTAGGGGATGAACGTACGGTTCATTTCGATTTTGATGCTTCGATATTCGGGAACGGTGAGGTTCGTGTTGGCAGCCTGGCAGGTGAGCGACGTCATCAGATGCTTCCTTTCCACGTTGTACAAATGCAGGTGAGATCTCACGACTCCGGGCGAAACGCTTTCGTCGGAAGAATTCAGGAGACGATTTTCCCACCACCATGTCACTCGAGGCATCGGCTTCCCTGCAACCATAATTCATAATTGACACCATCACGTATTTTCTTCCTGTCACGTAGCAGTGCAGCGTCCGCTATTTCCCCAGCTTTCTCCCTTCGGCGTCGATTGATACCTTCATGCGAAATCTATCGACCTCGATCCGGAGACTCCGCGATGTTGACAGAACTTAGAAAATCTTGACCTACGACAAGGAGGGACAGCGGCCCTGGAATCGATTTTCTTTCTTTCTTTTTTTCTCTCGGATTCATCAATCACGTGGGAGATTGCCTGGCAACAAGAAGAGATTAAGACTCATCCTCCACGAGTAGCTCTTGGGGGGAATTCCCAAACGACAGACGAAGCGAGTGAAGTGGAAACAGGGTGAGAAGTGGCACTCGTCCATCTTCGATTCCGATTTCTCCTTTCGACTTGATCGGGGCTGAGCGTGAAAATCCCTACCTTCTGCCTCGGAGTCTTCCGTGAAATGGGACAGGGATCCCAGTCATCGGCAGGGGACTCCATTTTCTGGTGGCAGGAGGAACTTCAACCCCTAAATTTACTGCAAAAGCCACTCCTTCACGAACGGTGTTTCGTCGTTAAAAGGCGGAGCCCTGATCTGTTCGTCTTTAGGACGTCTCAAAAGCATGCTTTACGTCTCCCACATACCTTTAAAATATATATTAATGATTCAGTTTTTGGCGAAGGAAATTTTCTTTTTGGATCATCATTTTCCACTCCATTTTCCATGCAGAAGTTTCATAGTATCAACCTGATGCCTTTCGGCCTCGTCAAAATTTGCCTTCCATTTGATACATTTGAACAGCATCACAGTTTCAGATGCATGTGACAAACTTGGAATGACCACGTTCGTTATGTATGCAAATGCGGGTAGAGTTAGAATCAGCTCCTCCTGATTCCCTCCCGAGTCTAGGTTTCTGGTTCACAGGAGTAAGACTCTCGATATGACACACCAGCCGACCAAACTGGATTTTTCACTTCCATCAGGCCGTGTGGGGTCCCTGTATATACACGAATATATTATCGGGTTAACCATGGAGGGTCTCGAGTAATTTTTAAGCGAGTACACTCGCACGCTCCAACACGCCCTAACAAGGATCACTGAATCACGGGGAACTCCCAATGTTGCCACTGAGCACATCCTTCTTGAAGGATGGCTTTGGAGCTTTGGAGCAGCGTCCGTCCTTATGACGCAGGTCGAGGAGTTGAGTTGACTTGAATGACCCAGGCGTGGGCTCGTATTCCAACTCCTGCTTTCCCCTCTTGTGTGCCGCGCGCCTCATCACAATTGGTACTTAATGTACTGTCGTGGGCAGTACGCGTACTCGATAAAAAATTGGGAAGAAAATATTAGACACGAGTGGTCGCATGAAGATCCTTGAGGCGCGCTCATGCAAGGAAGGATCAAGGACCGAGAACGAGGTGACTGAGCGAGAAGGTGGAGCACTCTCAAGATTTTGCATCTAAATCTCGACAGCGAATGGCACCGAAGAAGTGAAATGACAAAGGGAGGTCGAAATTCGTCCAGACAATGTATCGTCCCGCCATTCCCCCTCTTGATAGGGCAGCTGACGCATTTTGGTTTGTCAGTCGTCTCATGTTATCAGGCAAGGTCTGCGAGCGACGGATACGCATCAAACTTCAGTCTGCATGCGTCTCCTTGAGAATAACATATCCGAGGGCGAAATGAGACCAAAGTGCATATTTTTTATGCACGAAATTTTCTGCATGCAACTTCAGGTGTAGAAATACGTTTTAAAAATCCCGGTTTTGGAAATGAACGACATCTGCTCATCCTGTATATTTGCGTCAGATGAGGAAAGGACCGGAAATTACCAATTCTTCGTGGAAATATTGCTGATAAATTTAGGCATCTTCAAGTTCTTCGAGTAGTTCCTCTTGGCATGCATGTAGGACAGGCGTTTTATGCGATTAATTTGAGGAAACAATCGAAATATGTAACCTCGTAATCTCCAAATTATGAATTTATAAGTGCAACATAATTAACGGATCTTTATGCAGGAAGGAGAAGATTCAGGGAAAAAAGAATACATTAAAATCAAAATCCGGCCAGATTTTGGTTTTAGATATTATTTTTTCATTCTCAACCAGATGAAATTCAAAACATAATTGAAATTCAAAATTTACATATATAGAATGGAGCTACTCTTCCCTTCTAGCATCAATCATCCCACGATTCAATCTCTGCGTGGGCTGAACAAGAATCAAGAGTTCTAATTCTCCAACCCCTTCTAAGCTATTGCTGAAGACATTCGTCTTCATCCTCAAATATGAGTCTGACATTTTCCCCATGTTTCAGCAGATATGAGATGGTATAATACGAGAGGAGAGAGTGATATGGCAATACTAGTATATAGCGGTGCCAGTGATTGCTCTGCAAATACTCTTCAGCCATGCGATACGGATGGAATGGAGAAAGAAAAGACTTCAAGCAAATCCTAATCCCATGCCGTAAGAGGTCGTCGGAATCCATTCGTCTTCCCTTTGTCCTCCTATGGACTAGCTGGACCTTGAAGTAGGAAGAAAATGGTGACGGGGTTTTGAAAGGAAGAGAGAAGGAAGAAAGAAAAGGAAAAACGAGGGTGAAGCATTGTGGCTCTGGTTCGTCTGGTCGATACAGACTCCACGTTCTCCTTTTTTTCTCTCTCTTTTTCCTCATTTTGGCCCCATTTTCTTCAGACACGGAATGCCATTCCCAAGTACGGTGGACCCGGACTGAGGACCAGAAAGGGAGCAGGGCTGGGGATTCAAATGGATAAAATAAAAAGGGAGGGAAGAAGGAAGCCTCGATTCCGTGACCAGATCCTAACCAGGGCCGGCCTTTGGCATGTACCACATGTGCTCCCGCACAGGGCGCAAATTCACCAATGGCGCCAAAACGTGACTGAATGAACGGAACAATAATGGACGCCACCCTCAGTTTTTCCTTGCAACGTGGAAATGCCTTCCGTTTCGGCGTCTTTTTGACACTAGCAATTGATCCTTCTTCCCTGTCTCCACAAGCCCACCCTCGTCCGTGTACCCTGGAAAGTCGTCAGGGAGAAGGAAAGGGGGCGCTGGGTGTCTCTTTGTATCGGACTCCGGAATAGCTAGGGGCGACCCTAATAAAACCTTCCCTCACCTATTCCGACTCAAACGTTCAAAGGCAGCTCTTCTACTGCACGGGGATGGCCGAGTCAAGGTGAAAGATGAAATGCTGTGGTCAAATGCAGTGGCGGCTCGTGATATTCAGCAGTAGTGGATCGTAGAGGGAAGCAGGGTAGGCCCGCGCCTACCCTACCTCCATTGGCGAACCACTACTGCTATCACGAGCCGCCCATAGTCAAACGTAGAACTCACCCCCGTCGACTTCGCAGGTGAGATGAAGATCGGATCCCTCGTCCACTGGTCCAGCAGTGGACCCAACTTGGAGTCCCGATATCTCCCGAATGGTTGGCTGCGGCGGAGGAACTGCGCCGTGCAAGAAAAAAATTCATTAAAAAAATTAGGAATGAGAAAAGGAGAGACGAGACAGGAAAGGAAGAGGAGGGCAAGGAGGAAAAGAGAAGAAAAAATGCGGAGTCACGCTCTGCCTCAGCATGAACTTGGGACTCTTGGGACTTGTCCCTTCCCATTCATACTGTCCAGTCGGGCCGAAATGGAATCTCCCTCATTCCCTCCTTCTCTCACACAGGGTAGAATCCTCCTCCCCTAGCCTCTCGAGGTTTTCCGGCAATTTTTTCTCAAGTTGTAGAATTACGGACGGCCTGAGACTTCTTTAAAGTGTTTTCTCTCTCACGTACGGAATTCATTTGACAAAAGAAATTTCGGCACATTTGAGGGAGTTCATCTGCGAGAGACAGAAGGGACTAGACCTCTGTTTAAACGGATTTGCGAATTCTGTTACGTCTTCATACATTCTTCGACGGCCGAGGACATTAAATGACTTGTGCAGCTGGACTCCGCATTCCAATCGAAGAATTGAAAAGAATTCTACTTACTGACGATGGTCAAGTTGACATTGAAGTAAGAGGTAGGTGCTCGTCGGTAATCGGCTCGACACCTGTAGAGCCCCTCGTCCGTGTACCTCACTGGGTCAAAGGTCAAATGAGGCACCCCGTCGAGATAGGAAAGATGGGCCCGAGGCTGGAGGAAGGGTGCCACTCGGTGCCTCCCATCCTCCGTTGATCGCATCCTCGCGTCGAAGCTAAATCCACAACGCAACATTTCTTCGTTACATTCAAATGAAATTCCAGAAGAGGGCTAGTACGAGGAAGGAAAGGGTCCTACGTGTAGATGGGCATGTCGGAATCTTCCTCCTTGAACCAGAGGACGAGATAAGGAGGATTTCCTTGGATATCCTCGCGAAGATGACAGGGGACTTGAGCTCGATACCCATCCACTGCTGTCACTCGCTTCAATGGAACTGCTTCGACAAAGAAGGGAAGAAAAGAGAGTGGGGAAAAAATCAGTCAAGTCCCACGATTGGAAAGGGGCCAAACAATCACCCATGTTTCCATCACGTTCCGTTTCTCAACTGAATCTATGTCGTCGATGTAAAGTTCCCTTATGAAGCACGGTGACAGGCTTTTCTGTGGATAAATCAGCTCCTTCCATGTCTCATTTGCATTTACTCTCTCCTTTTTCACAGTGTCTAGAGTTACTTGGCTCGAGTTACACAAACTTCGTAATGCTAGATTTACTGGACTCGTGTTGCCCTTCCCCCAGAAACTTCCTTGCCTTCTGTCTGCGGCCACGAGTGTGAAAGTTTAACATATTTATTGAATGAATCAGCATACAGTAAAGGTTAGAAAGTGATTATGGTTCCCAATATTTTCAGTCTGTTGAAAGTTGCAACGGAGCCATCACTTGCTAAAATAGATTATTTATCTTGAACATATCTCTTTCTCTTTTTACATGAATGCTCTTCTACCGTTCAGTTTGTATTACGCTGTACATGTAAGCCTATCAACGATATACTGTGGTCTTCTCCTGCATTTTACGACTAGAACTGTCTCAACTGGATGGTCTGTTGTTGCCCAAGTGAAGCAGGACTTGGGTAGGTGATAAAAATCTCGACTCCCTTGAGTGAAAAATCCGCCTCCTCACCCAAGGCTTAAAATTCTTTTTTTTTTTATCTACGCCATTCGAGAGGAAAATGCACACACGGCACATATTTAGAGACCAACCATAGGTGCAATTTGGTTGAAAAAGACAGTTTGGACTTCTGATTACGTTGAAATAAGTAACTTGGGGAGCGGACTTTATAGCAGGGTCGGAATTCGTATCACCTATCCTACGGTTCTCTCGGATCACATCAGGGAGGTTGGGAACATTTTTCGTTTAGCGTAATCCCATGTGGTCCCATGAAGCGCCCAAAGCCTCTGTAGCCTCATACGTAGCCTATCAATGAGGTCATAGGCTTGAGCCGAGTCTCGGTTCACCTTTGTGGAGTGAAGTTGTTCGCGCCTCTGGATGAACAATTACTTAGCCCTTTGTATAGTAAGTCCGTAAACATACATTTTCAAAATGTTAATGAAATTTCAATTTTAAGTTTGACGTAAATTACCCTTTTTGAGTGCGTTGCATTTTTTGCCTTCACGCACTACATTCGACTATTTTCTACCACATTATGAACGAAAAAATTCAAGACATTTATCATTGAGGGACCTATACTTTTTTTTTCGAAACATCCTAGGAGCGCGAAAAAAACTTAAAACTCAAAGGGTTAAATGAAGTGGAGCAGTGATTCTCCACTGACAGGCCACTAAAGCGCTCTGCAAGGAATTCACAAGGCCACAGTCAGGCATATTCTGAGAAATACGAACTTAGACCCATACAGGGCAGGAAAAAATTACCTGGGCTTCCACCCATGGTAAGGGAATGAGAATAGGGTATTATATTATATGAAATGGAGGTCGGGAACTCATTTCCTCTCTCTCTCTTTCTCTCAGAGACCCTTTATTGCCAGGTAGAATCAATATCTCTTCTTGCCAAGCCAAATGGGGCAGGTGGCTCTTGGCCTATATTACAGAGTAACATCACGATATATTCAACAGCTGCTCAGCATCTGCGAACGATGGCCATTCGTAAGGAGACTTCCTCCCGATCCAAAAATAACACAGTATTTATTCCATAGCCATGGAAATTAGAGAGGAAACGAGATCGTTAATGCAGGTAATTACCAGTCTTCCCAAGGAGGAAAAGGAAAAAAAAGAAGAGACCCTTACCAAGCATATCGAATGTTCCGATATCGTATAGAGATAATTAGGGTGATACTTCACCAGGATGTGGATTGCTCTATGTAACCAATCATTAGAGTAGAAACGTTATACTCGTCAATTATTCGAAAAGTATGTTATTGATGGTATTGATGGAGGTGATGAGGACACGTAAGGCCCCCGTTCCGAACACTTGTGAAATTGGGAGACGTGTCGTGGGAGTCGATGTCCAAGGTTCACTCGGATCGAGATCTTGCAGTTCCTTGGGTTTCAATAGTTTAAAACTCTCGGAAAATACTCGGTAATAAAAAAGATATTAGGCTGATCACGAGAAGGTTGACATTTCGGTCCTTTCCTTTCAACTAAACTTGAAAAGTAGCTAGTGGAAATTGCCCAAAACTTAAGACATTTTATCTTCAGGTAAGATGTTTGAAGTTTTGGCATTAAAGTGTTAATCGTTGAGAAAAGAACAGGCTCGTGACTTTCGATCCTTTCTCCATTTGACAGTTTTCATCAGAGACTGCCTCGAGAGACAACTTATTTCACCGGTGCCAGATTAAAGGCTCGGAAAGAAATTCGAGAGCGATCGACCCAAAATACTGGCATGAAAAGAAATTAAAGAGTGATCGGCCGTTGTGAACCATTGGAATCCAACAGTTAATAGAGCGATTGGGAAAAGGGATTCCAGGCCGTTTCCTCATTTCGATACTCGTCCTTCCTGGAAAAAGGGGGTCGTTTGGCACGGATTCAACGTCGGTCGGGAGACAGCCGGCTCCGGGGGAGATTCAAGAAAGGGAGGGATTCTTGCGAAAGGGAAGGAAGGAGAAATCGATGAAATCCAGCGGAAAAACCGCCTAACGTCGGGTCGAGAACATAATATAAAAGAGAGAGAATGACAGGGAACTCGGGGAGGGCAATATTGGACCATTACCCGTAGAAGCAAGAAACCCACAGCTGAAAAGGAGACCTGATTTATTCCCATAATTCACCATTTCATCACGGTCCTCATTCATCCCTTTTTCTCCTCCCTCAAAAATGCTAGTCGTTCCTTCCCTTCATATAATGGGCCCCCTCCCCGGGAAGGTGGTGTATAAACGCATGAGGTTCACATGTTGTTCTTCCTCATCTCGAGGGAAAAGGAAAAATAAGGTGCTATTTTAGTATATGTGCTATTTCATTCCATCTACATCTATATTATTACTCTCTGTGTTGTGCTGTGGACACAGAAGTATTTGCTCTCCAGTCCACTATCCCTCCATATTTCTTAATATACTTTCGATATTGGGTCAATTAGCCTAATTCCCTCCTTCCGATTTTGAGAGCATAAATAACCCTCTATTCATAGCCATCATTAACGAATTCAGAATACCTGAGAACTTCATGTCATCCGGAATGGAATCATTCAATCCGTCGAGAGAGGATTACCGTCAAGAATCTTAGGATTCCATGAACGAAGCTCATTTACAGATATTTAACTGCATTTAAGTCAAAATGGTTTAAAACTCTGTCATGGTTACATGGACTCTTGAACTAGCCTTTAATGCTGACGTTCAAGATGGTGAAGATGCGCCGTACCGTGTCGCAGAAAAAACACATACAACTGGAATGACGCGCTTTGATACGTGAAGAGGGGAAAAGAGAAGTTCTGGGAACTGCGGAGTTTCAGTAAATCATGAACAAGGCTTCTTCTGCGTTTGAATCAAAGAGCTATGGAAGTCCTACACCTAAAGCAAGAAATTATGCAAACGGAAAGAAAAATAAGAAAAAAATAAGAGAAGAGAGAACATGTAAGAAACGAGAGCAGAAGTTAGAAGGAAACCAGGACGCGATTTAATCAAGATTCAAACGCAAAGGAAGGAAATGAGAGGTGTGGGGGAAAGAGTCATTTCACCAGAGGCGAAAGTCGTCGGTGAACGAAAGGTCGATTGCCAGGCGTCCGAAATCGCATAAACACGATAAGTAGCACATTATGCAGACACTAATTAGCTTGCGGTACGTGACCTCAGCCAGCAAAGTCTTACCTTATTCAGTCGTGAATAAGTTAGGGCTTTGATCCGACCCTATTCGGAACTGAATAAATTAAAAGGAAAGTTCTAACTTATTCAGGACTGAATAAGTTCGATATTTACTTTATTCAGCGCTGAATGCATTAGAATTGATTATATTGAAAGTAACGTTCCTTATGCTAATTCATGCAGTAATTACTTCGACATCATAATACAGGACGTGTAATAAATGAATGAGTCGCCACATCTCGCGTTAAGATTATCTGTGATGAGCCCTATGGAATTATCATGTCTTGGATAAATGGATGGGGTCCTTTTGAGAAGAAACTTTCATCTGTGATTGCTCTCTCGTGGCAAAGCGCTCCTGTGCACTTCCAATTAGTAATGGTCTCCATTACCTTGTCTTTCCGAAAGGAATACTCATGAACGAGCAGTTGGCGATCTCCTTCTGCGAAGCCGTACTCCGTCTTAGACGACCTCGGCAGTGAGAAAACGGGTCCAGCATGAGTGTGCCATGGAATGTCTGTTTTGAGTGTATATTCTCGTCCGACAGTCTTCACTTTGTCGGGCCACCCGTCCGACTGTGCTTTCGGCATTCTCTGCATTTTTAGAGATCGGCTTACCGTCTGTAAATGCTACGTTCGCAGAGAGGATTCTATACTCATCCGGCTCGAAACTGGAAGCCGATTCGTATTTTGGCAGAAGCCGGATGTCGGGATTTTTGCATTCAACACTCCATTATGATCTCATAAGTCAGTTATTAGGACGTAGTTGTTGCCGTGCCGACGAGAATTCCAATGCGACGTTCACGCGGAAATGCCCATGCCGGCGAAGAAACTTAAGACTCCGTCTTGTTTCACGTTAGTCTCGAAAATCGTGCCATCCACGTTGGCATCACCTAAAATTATGCTTGAGACTGGTGATATCCATTGAGAATGGCAGCATCGATACGAATGGATTCTCAGTGCCCGAGAGAAAGAACGGAAAAATTCAGGACCTATTCAGTCGCAGGCTGCCATGAGGGACATGGCCACATGCATTAAAAGTGATGCTGGAGATTAGGTATTCCGTGACATGCAATTCCCACCGAATCTAATCCAGATCATCGCGTGTTCCCCCTCACATCGATCTTCTATATCCATTCCCAGGGCTAATCAGGATCTTTCGAAGATCGTTCGCAGAACGGGACTCATCGTCGAGCGGACAAAAGATAGCGGGTTATCGAACTCTTCCATGGTAGGAAGCATGAAATATTAAAATCGTGGGAGAATGTGGCTATCGAGGG